CGTCCTCTTCCCAGAGATGACTCACCGGCGGTGGGGCATGGAGCCTGGAGCCCTGTTGTCACTCAGGAAGCTCCAGAGGTGGGTAGGTGGCTGTCTGTGCTGGCAGGAGGAAAACAGGAACTCTCTCATAGATGGTCATGAACATGGCGACAATCCCTGACACCGTGGGATGCAACAGCATGCCAAGACAAGAGCAGCCTCTATTTTGTCACCAGCAGCAGCCCCGTGGAGCCGGGCGCGTTCACGCTCACCAGGCAACAGAGGAGCAGAAGATGAATCTAGTTTGGCTTTATTTATCTCTGCAGGGCCACGTGGGATTTGTCATCGGCATAGATTTTTTTTTTTTCTTTCATATACAAGACTGACCCTAACCCTGCGTTTACTGTGTGGGGCAGGGGGGTGTGGAAAAAAAAAACATCCACTTACCTGCAAATTATAGGCTAAATTATATAGGCCTAGTTTAAAATACACACTGTGCGTATATCATCCATACCATAACTGCCAATTATAAATGCTACACACTATTTCGGCATTTACTGTAGGTAATCTAGTACTGTACCCATTAAATAGGCCTATTTGTTTCTGTGCTCTTTTTGTAGTGTTTATAATTTAGAGAACACTTGATTTGCATATAGACATTGTTGATGGTCACTGTTGCTGATATTTACCATAAAACCTTAGAAAAAAAAGTTAGTTGCCGGGGCTTTTATTTGCTTCAATCACTGAACTCAACCTGCCTTTATTTGGGACAGGCCTTTAATACCTTTTGCACAAAACTCTTTCTCAGCAAAGATTGGAAATATTATCAAATTGTTTATTTAAACCAGTATTAATATTACTTATATGTTATCAAATAACATATGAATTACCAATCATTCCTTTGATAATTTGACACTTTAGTGCTCATGGTTTCGGTAAAATGAAATGAAAGATCTAAGTGATCTAACCATGTGAAACCACATTGACAAAAGTTTAAACATTTATATTTGTGTAGGCGATCTAAACAGCTTAGAACTCGCTCGAATGGGCGACCCAGTGGGCTTCAAGAGGTTTTATACATCCAAAGATTTTCTATAAAAGTTTTACAGTATATATACAAATACAGTACAGGTACTTTTCACCTACAATAACTTACATTATAGTTAAATGTTTAGGTTTAACTATCTTTGTCCTTGTTTTTATCTGCATGCTTATTTTTATTTTCCTGTAAATTGAACTGTGTGTAACACTAAAGGCAACTTAAAACCGGAGTTAGATTCTTTGTATGTGTAAACATACTTGGCCAATAAAGCTGATTCTGAGTCTGAACTGCTGTTTCACTCCCTCACCACAGCACACTGGCCCCACAACCTCCAGGACCCCAGGAATCAAACATTCAGTACAAGTCACCTGGTTTTCGTGATTCAATCACTACAGATTCATATTTTAAATAATCATATGATACATTTATAAAATACAACACATTGTTAAACTTTAAACATCAGACATTTTTGGCTTGTGACCTTTTATAAAAATAAAAAAGCTAGTGTGGGCCCCCTGATGTTTCAGATGAGCATGGATGGGTTTCTGAAGGGCCAGAGGCCAGAGCCTCTGTTTGAAATGTTCTTGTTGGAAAGTAACTGAGTTAAAAGTCGGTATGATTTCGTGATGACATCTTTGTATTCTCTTGCTTTTGAGTATCTGCCAACCAAATCCAATCCAATTTTGTTTATTATTTACTTAATATTACAGTAAAATTAGTGAAGCAATTTGAATCAGTTTGATAGCAGCTCTGCTTTAAGAAAATGCAGGCTTTCTTTGATAGTTTCAATATTTTGTCAGGTGTGCTGTATTTTATTTAATATCTGTGCAGAGGAGTGTCAGTAAGAAGCTTTGGACGGGAGCCAGATAGCCTTTCTTCATCTCCACTGTGAATAAAAAAGCATTCAGGTTCAACTGAATCAACAGCAGTACTTTTAGAGCCCTGCAAAATGACAGAGAAGCAACATTACTGCAAACAATGCAGCTGTCCATTAATGCAACTGAACGTATGATGGGGTTCTTGAATGCAACAAAAAGGGACAACTGCTTAATTACATACAAGGCAAAGCAAACAACTGCCCTGAGTTTCAGGATCTTTACAAGTCTATGGATCAATCAATGGAGCAGCGAAACTAACCAAAATGCAGCAACAGCTTACCAGACAAGTCAAAAAATATAACTAAACATATCAATACATAATATTAATAATTAAACAATTATTATATAAAGTTTTATACTTTTGGTAAAATAAATGAAAACTATTTCATTAGCTCGTTATTTTTCAGCTCTCTTCAATAAATATTATTTATGAATGTATTCAAGAGTCATCTGAGGGCCACATGCAATTGAATTGAATTTATCGTTACTGTTATTAATCCTATAGTTACATGTCAAAACACCTGCTGTGAAAAATGCCTGTTGAAGTTGCTTTGTAATGTAGTTTACTGTGGCCATTACTGGGAACGTGGAGATGACAGGTGCATACACAGTGCAATATGTGGGGTGTCAACAAGGGCCCAACAGCAAGTTTCCCCCTGAAGCTCGTATATTAACCCGAACAGGTTAATCCCCCCCCCCCCCCCCCCCCCCCTCCCCCTCCCAGATGAGCATGCAAAACACTAAATTATGGAAAATTATAGAAAAATGAGGGATTACATAAGTGCATATACATTGCACTTTTGAGTCCAGTGTGGTTCTGGTAGCGTGAACATGATTCTGTTATCCTGCATCTTGCCTTAATAAAGAATGTGATGTGCACACAACTCCCTTTTTGCATTATTGCACATAAATACATAATAGATTGTGTTAAATCATTAAGGGAGATTTAAACCTTTAAGGAGATCTAACTGAATAAATAGTAAAGTCAATTTTTTCTTATATCCCCAGATGAAAAATTTGTGATTAATGAAAAATATTTAGATAAATAGATGGCCTAAATAAAAAAACAAAACAGATATATAAATGGCATTATGTAATAAAATATCAAACTGATGAATAACCTTTACGTCACTTTTTTCTCTCCCATTTACCTTTTACTGACTTTTTATTTTCACCATGTCACTAATATTTAATTCATAAACTACATATTGTGTGTGTGTGTGTGTGTGTGTGTGTGTGTGTATAGAGCAAATGCAGGCAAACAAACAACAATTCATGCAGAATCCAGTAGAATATTTAGTACTAGTAAGGCTCTGGTAGATGCACATAATGATTTCCAGTGAGCATAGAGATAGACATCAAAATGATAACTAACACATGCTGCATTGACCGGGCATTTTAGACATGTTCTTATATAAGCAACAAAAAAATGTTGAATCGAAATTGGGAGATTAATGATAATGTAGGAAAAACAGAGTTGAGAAATTCAAACAATTTTTCCATCAATTGCTTGGAGATAACTGAAAAATATAAATCTGTCTTGATTCTTTTCCAACCCATTTAATTATTATAAACACTCAACTAATGTATTTTATTATTGACTCATTACACAGCCTAATAGAGTTTGAGGATGGAGCTTCTCTCCCATCTGTCAGCCCTTTACAAACAGTTATGCAATCATGTCGTCTAACATGTCAGACAGGATTTCTCGATGTAGTCAGGACTGTTTCACATATACATATAAATACTATACTTTGTGAGAACTGCAATCTCTGACAGACTACCATTAATTCCTTGTGGCTATCACAACAGGGTCTGGCTGTAATTACCTCCAGAGGACAGTTGCACCGCAGGAGAGCACAGCAGAGAGTAATGCCATTCAGCTGGAAGATTTACACTATGTATGTTCCTTCATACACTGCAGCATCTGTGAATATAAACAGCTCTCCCCAGAAGCAAGAAACCCAGAGAACCGAGACTCAGCACTATGATGCTGAAGATGTAAAATAAGCAGCTGATGACAGAAAGCTCCTGGGACAATGAAATTTTGAGTATTTTCTTCTCATTTCACAGCACTGTAAAATCCTTTTTTTCCTCTCCCTGGTTTCTCTTTCACCTTCTCATTTCATCCCTTTAGTACAAGATACAGCGATTACAGGCGCAAGCCAGTCCCCTATTGTCATATGTCTTTGTTTGTTTGTATAAAATTGATGTAGATAAGACCACGACGGGGTGTACTCGGAGAGACTGCAGGAGGCAGGTTAAATCTCCCCATGCGAGTAAGCTCTCTGCTCAGGTGTCCTTGACCGAGACTTGAATCCCTACCTCACCTTACCTCAGAGCCGCTGTTATTGAATCTGATCCTGACCATGATCCTTTAGAAATAACATGCATGTTAATGACTTTGGCCTCCAAACA